CTTGCAGAATACTCGGGGATCTTAAGAGCAGATTGGAAACCATCATAAATGATTAGGCAAAAAAGGGTATTTTTGAAGCCCAATTTCTTCTCCTTTGAAATCCCACGGTGGGGACCTTTCAAGAAACTCTGTGTTCCCATTGGGTTACACTTGACGAGAAAGGGGCCCCTAAAGGTTTATTTAAAAGTGTATTGTTGAAGATAATGGGTTCAGATTAAGTTTTGGGCTCCGCGCTCGCACTGTTGTTCCGTGGACTAATTATGGCCACATTAGAGTCACCGACGCGGGCCGGTCGAGCTCGTCGTACGGGAAGGTGCTTCCAGACGTTGTTTTCCTAGACACCCCCCTCCCCACCACCCCAATGGCACCAGTGGGGATCGTGTAATGGCAGAGAAAAGGAATGATTAATTCAAAGTTCAGGTGCAAGACAGGGTCAGAAAAGAAACGTTCCAGGATAGAGTGAGCATTTCAAGATGAATTTGTGGCTTGAAACATCATTTTATGATGCATTTTCTTTTCCGTGATCAGGGGAAGTCTGAAGGCTGACACCCCAGTGATGGCGGTGTTTCGGTGCCATGTTCCATGATGGGCTTTTCATAAAAATTAGCTGACATTGTCATGAGCACACAAGGAAATTTATAGCTTTCATACTGGACTGCCATTCCCAGAGCAATTTCCAATCACTTGGGCTTTTTATTAAGTTTATTGTTCTTTTATTGTTCAGTGGAGTGTAAGCAGTGAGATTACAAATAAATATAAGCTCCACTGGATATGAAGGCGAGCGTGTGGAATTAGGAGGGAAGCCGGGAAGGAAGGCAAACATTCATTTGAATCACCGGTGATATGAGACACCGTGAGACACCACCAACGGACGCTTCCTGTCACCTGCTTATCTACGGAAGTTGGGAAACTGACATCCCATTCATGTTAAAGTTTTCCCGGAAAGCCCTCCAAGAAGAAGTCTTTGTGCGGAAACTCGGTGCTGCACACGACTTTGCCACGTGAAGAAAGTGTGCCATTTTTGCTCCCCTTCCAGGTTCCTTCTCCGTTTGTTGCTGGGTTGTCTTCTTCGTGCTTCCTCACCTGCCAGGTGTGTCACGCTGGCGTCGTGAACATCGCCCTCCAAGCCCCGGAGAGGACCACTCTGGAAAGCTCGAGTGACCGGCATGCCTGGGAGTCCCACTTCTGGAACCAATGAGACCAATGGGAGAACAACCAGCTTTCTTGCAAGGCTTGAATTTAGTACTTGAAGCACTGAGCCACTTCATTTTCCATTTCATCTTTATTTTTCCCCAAAGAGATGGTCCTCTTAATCACTAAAGTTTTAATGTTTTTTTTTCCAGGAGTTGATTGAAAGTTGTTATTTAAGGCTTGTTAGGATGAGAACAGAGGTGATTGGAAGGGAGGGGTTGCTGTGTGATTCAAGGCCCTTCTCGCGTCTTGGCCATGCATGGGTCATTATTCTTTCCATGTTAGGAAGGTGACCTTGTCATTTTGGTGGGCACCTGTGGGCAGACACTGTGGGTTGCGAGTCCCCCTTTGTACCTGTTAAGAAATTCCAGGTTTTGTGCAGCTCCAAGTGACGGATGTTTAACCTAAATCAATCATTTCAATGTTCTCCATTTTCCCAGCCTCTCTTGTGGTGAAAGGCTGTCATGAAACCTAGTTCTGGCTGATGAGATTTAAGCAAAAGTGTGTTGTTGGGTGGGGAGGGGCTTGCTTCTGGAGCAACTTTGACTTGCCTGGTAAAATGGGGAAAATGTTGCTTACATACTTCTTATCCACCTTCCTTCCTCATCTTTTCTGTTTTAAGCCTGGAATCTGTCTGGAGCTGTGGCAGCCGTCTTGCAACCATGAGGCAACGAGTTTCAGGACAAAAGCTGACACATGAACAATGGGGGACTGAAAAGACAGAAAGGACTTGGCCATATGGCATCGTTGGGTGACAGGAATAACACTAGCCCCCCCATCTACAGGTTTCTATGTGAAAACCGAACCTCTCCTTGTTTGGGGTAGACCATGATTAGTTTTGGGTATTCTGTTTCTTGTAGCAAGTGTGTCCCTATGATATAGCCTAGACTCATATGGGAAACTTGTTAAATGCAGATATCCTGGCCTCACCCCCAGTAATTTCCACTCACTATGTTTGCAACTGGGCCCAGGGGTCAGCACTTTTAACATCCCACGTCATTTTTATGCAAGATGCCCTGAGAAGCACAGACTTCGATCACAGCAAAGGAAAGGACTGAGGGGAGCCAGTCTGCTGGGGCAATGTGAACCAACTGCGCACTTCCCCTCTGTCTGCCCACTCTCAGGCCAGCCAGGTGCTGCCTGCGGTCCCTGAGCCCCAAATGCAGAGGGCAGGGAAATCCCAAAATTTCCATCTAGGAAAAGGGGCGGGTCTAAGGAGTTCTATCCAGCCTCCTTCTCGCTCCTGGCGTTGACCCCACGAGGCCATCTTGGGGGCTGGTGAATGCGCGGCCCAGTGGACATCACCCTTCACTTCTGCCACCACAGGCCAAGCCCCAGATGGCAGAAGGCCGGGGCCGGGGTCCCAACAAGGCTGCCTGAAAATGCAGATTCCTGGGTCCACATCTGCAGAACCAGGCTCCCTGGAGGTGGGACCTGGGAATCTGCATTGCTGGCAAGCTGCCCAGGTGATTCTGATGACCCCAAAGGTGGAGCACCACACCTAGAAATGGCTGGAATGGACTTGGATCTGAGTGATTCTGGGATCAGCCAAAATGACCTTGTACTCCCAGCTCTGATACTAAGCCTGCGGCCATGGGAAATGGTTTAACCCTGACCGGGATGACTGGACAACGGGCATCACCACAGAACTTGCACTGCACAGAGCAGTCCACTGGATCAGCTGAGATCATACATACCGCGAACTTATTAGCACTATGCTGGAAAGATATGAAGTGAGCGCCCCAAGAATGTTAATCACCTGTGTCATGATCATTGACACGATCACTATCTGGGGCCGCCTCTCCCCAGTGGGTCCACTGGTGCCCGCAGCCATGGGGGCTGCAGGTCGATCAGATGCACAAGTTCTCCTTGCTATTTCAGGGAAATGGGGATCTGAGAAAATGACTGTTCAGTGTGGTAATTACTGGCTGTTGCTGTGGTCCCGTCTTAGGCCACGGATGGGGTTCTGGGATTAGGAGATGGACGGGCTGCTGGGATGGGTGGGTAAAGCTCAGCCCCCTGCACCCTGGTCAGGGACCCTGGACAGCTGCCCACAGCAGCAGGGGAAGGGAAAGGTGAGGCCCAGGAATGCACTGCGAGGCAACCTGTCCCAGGACGATGGAGCGGGGGGAACACGGAGATGGTCCCGAGTGCTCAGTGGGGAAACCAGCACAGATCCACAGTGTCTCACACCAAGGCACTGGAAATGGTCTACAGTGGAAGAACGAGCAGTTTCATAGAAAGAAGGCAGGGCCCACTTACCATTTATCGGCCGTCCCTGGACTCTGGAGGTGAGCTGCCTGCCCACGGCTTTCTTTGACCTCACGCAGTTGACTTATAGTAAACAATGACATTCAACTTATTAGCGAATAAGTATATTCTTGGGATATGTACTAGCAAAAGCCAATGAGACCTTAGTCAGAATGAGCTAAATAGATACCCAGCTGGGTGCACAACCACCCTATCAAAACGGCCCTGTACAGCAAGGTCCCCTGCACGGCACGGGGAACTTACATTCAGGAACTTGCAACGGCCTATGATGAAAAAGAATATGAAAGGGAATCTGTCTCTATATATGTATGAATGAACCACTATGCTGCACGCCAGAAATTCACACAACATTGCAAACTGACTATACTTCACTTTGGTAAATAAATACGGCAAATGGAGAGCGGCCCCGTGTAAGCGCGAGGGGCCGCGCTCTACCTAGCTGATGCTGACCGCGCACAGCCCTTCCTCCGCCTGCCGGGCCCGGGAGGCCTGCCGTCCCAGGCCCCACCGCCCACCCTGCAGCTGCCCTGCAGACATGGGGGAGTGGACACTCGGGCGAGGCAGGAATTTGCGTCTTCACCCGAGGACCCTCTGCAGGCAGAGCGGCCAGGCAGGCCCGGGTTCCGGGTTCGTGCTGGTTGGGTGAGGACCGGCACCGTGTCACCTTTCAACACTGGCTGTGTATCTGCAAAGATGTCCCCCAACTCAGACCACCCCAGAGGGGGCTGGCTTGGTCTGAAGGACTGTGGTGAAATGCTGAGTCATTTGGAAACAGCGGCTTGCAGCAAACAAACCATCGGTGCTCTTCAGATTTGCAAAGCATCTTTGAGCAAGTGGTTACGAGACTTTGTAGCAGCACAGGGACCACGTCTTACCCACCCAAACCTTCAAGGGGCTTCCCTGAGCCCACGTGGTGTTTCATGTGCCCTGAGATGGTGCTGCCCTTCCTAGATTTACACTAATACCTAAGGTACTGAGAACGGAGTTTCCTCCGCCAAGGGTCTGCCGGTGTCCCGGGTCTGTGTGTCCAGGGGGTCGGCGTGGTCAGGCCCCGGGGCAGTGGGCGGCTGGGGGCTCCTGCAGGAAGGGCCTGACTGGCCCTGCCCCTTCCCCCACCACGGGGCCCAGCATAGTGAAGCACACAGTGGGCACTTAGTGACTGCTCGTGGTGGGCTGAACCTGAATAATCATCAGATTAATGTTTTCGTAAGTGGACAGTGTTTCGTTCCGTTCCAAGGAGCCCCTTCATGACCACAGGTCTGAAGGGAGACGGACATATTATCTCCTTGAGTCTTTTAGCATCTCTCTAAAACTCTTTCTCCGTCTCGGCCCCTTGTGATGCCCAGCTCTCCCTGTCCCTCGAGGTTCCCCACCAGCATCTCAGAGTCCACACTGTGAGAGTTCACCACAGGCGTGAGCGGGGTGCTCACCTCAGCCTCACCAGTGACTCGCTCTGTGCCCCGACCTCCCCCTGCCCACTTCCCACATCCATCCCAGGCCACCCCCCACCCCCCAGGCAGCCCCCCTTTGCCTCTCACCGCACACAGTTCACGGCCTGCAGTTGTCCGTGCCTCCTCTCTGCTGCACTCCAAGTCAGACTATGCGCTTGGTTCTAGGCAGAACCTTCAGTGGCCCCATTGCCTGTCAAAATAAGATCAGCCTCCTTACCCACACACCCAAGACCCTTCCTCCTATTGTTCACCTGTCCTTCTAGCCTTTTCTTCCCCAACCAATCTACCTGGGTCTGGCGGACTAGCCAGGTTGGAACTCAGCATCCCGGTGGCCCCCAGACTGACACACCATGCCTCTGGACAAGGAATGCATCTTCTTGGAAACTCTCCTGCCCCCATCTTCTTCTGCCTAGAATCTCTACACCTCAAAGGCCCTTTAAAACCCCCCGCCCCTTCCTCTTTCCTGACCTTCCCAACCAGAGGGAATGTCCCCCTCCTCCAACCCCCCCCCATGCCACCGCAAATCCACACCATCCTCGCTCTGCTTCGTTCATTTGTTCACCCATCGCACTCACCCCGCCAGCAGCTTCTCCAGCCACGCACTGAGAGTTTATCAGTTGGGTCACGAGACCCTGGAGGACAGAAACTGCGACTTACCCCTCAGTATACTTCCCTGGGCCTGGCTTGGCGCCTGGCTGACAGTAGGTTTTCCAAAACTGTTTCCTGGATTAAAATTGAATTGAATGCAGGAGCGGTTGTATTGACCAAGATGGCATTTTAAAACGTAAGGTTCATCAAAATAATGAATCATTGCTCCCGTCCCACACTTCAGGGGGAGAGCTTCCAACGAGAGCGGGCGCCTGGCTGTTTGGATGCATTATTCCCTTTGCAGAAGCCTCGGGCGTGCAGAGCTCTGCCTCCTGGTTGTCACCGCCTCCCGCCCTGGGCGGCCCCAGCCTCCTGCCCCCCGGGCTAACGTCTCTGCCACCTGCAGGCAGTCTTTAGCCTCTGGGCCTGGGAGGCTGGGCTGAGGCCAGCCCTGCAGGCGGCGAGGGAAGCCCACCCATTTTGCATCTGTGCAAACCAGAGGGCTAGCGGCAATATTCATCTTCATTTTCTCTTTAAACCCTTGAGCTGCATTATAGCTGCCATTGTGCTGGTGACAGACAAATGCCTTGCAATAAATCAAAGTTAGGGTGACTGATACACTAAACACCTTTGCTTAATGATGTGATTGTTTCTTATCTGCAAAGTAATGTCACTTATGGCTTTGCTATTTATAGTCAATGTAGTGTTAGACCATTTTATGCCCCTGATGCCTCTGTGGCCAGCCCATTAGCTGTGATTATGGACCAAAGGGGAGACAGCCACTGAAAGCCTGGAGAGAGAAGGCTTTGGAGTGTTACAGCGTCTCCACCCATGAAAACCCATGCCGGGTACACATTCCACCCCGACTTTCTCCCCAGCTCAGGTGAGTAATAAGACACCAGCTGATGCTGCCCATTCGGGGTCCACCTGTGTCAGGACTGAGCATCCTCCGGAAAGCATGATGGGTCCGGACAGCATGATGATATTAAATGTTAAAAACAAAACAAAAGGTAAGGGGCCGCCTCCCGCTCTGGTGCAGTCCCTGGCCCAGCAGGGCTCAGGCAGGTGAAGGAACATGGATGGACCAGACGCGCAGGCAAGTCCCCCATCGGGAGGCCGGCCCCGGCTCAGCCGTTCATTCATTATTTGCCAGGCGTTGCCCACACTATTCTCTTTGAACAGGGTGTCAGTGGAGAGGGCTGAGTCCACCGGGGTCTCCCTCCTCTGCTCTGTCCCTGCAGTGAGAGGTTTCTCCACCAACTTCAAAGGCAGCCCCCACGGTGGGACCAGGGCCCCTCCTGGCTGGCCCCCGCTCCTCCCATACCAAGCTTCTGGCTCGACGCCTCTGCTCAGGCCTTGCAGCCTCCCCATCGCCCTAGGTGGGGACAGCACTGAGGAGCAGAACCCAGAACCCCTGGCTACCCTCGGGAGAGGGGCAGGAGAAGCTAGCAGCCTGTTGGTAGCACTGAGGAAATCCTCTCCAAGGTGCTGGACACCAGGGGACAGCTGTGGGACTTCAAAGCCACGCCTGGCACCTTCCCAAGGCCCTTGGAGGCCACAGCCCTAGGAGCAATGCATTTATTCGGCAAGTAGTGCCTATAGTGGGTAGAAGTGTCTCCAAAAAGCTACATTCAAGTCCCAGCCCCCGTAACTGTGAACGTGACTTTACTTGGAAATGGTATTTGCAGATGTGATCGATTCACATGAGGTTGTACCGGACTAGGGTGGACCCTAGTGCAACGGCTGGTCTCCCAACACGAAGAGGCACAAGGGACACACAGACACATACCACGTGATGGCTGGAAATACAGCCTCATGATGACAGATGCAGAGATTGGAGTGATGCAGGCCTACAAGCCAGAAGTTGCCAAAAGCTGGGAGAAGAGCCTGGAACAGCTTCTCCCCGAACCTCTGGGAGGAAGCAACCCTGCCGACACCTTGATCTCAGATTGGGGGCCTTCAGAGGTCGAAGAGAATAACTTTCCTGGTGTTTTAAGCCACCCTGTTGCTGGTACTCTGAAAACTAACACAGGGACCAAGGACGGCGGTGGGCGGGTGTCAGGGCAAGACGTCTGCTGGGAGCGAAACGGTGAGCCTCCTGCAGCGGCCACGGCTGTCCCTGGGGGCTTCCGCTCAGAGGCAGAAGGAAGTCTGAGAGTCTGGGTGTCAGAACACAGGGGGTCAAAGCATAGTTCTTGCAGGTTAAAGACAAACCACGCACATTGCCTGCTGTGAACGTGTATTTATGTTGTTGTGTTTTATGCCTTGTTCTGGACACTTGTGTGCACCGTGCCATTAATTTTCCTTTGATGTTTTGAAAAGAACAATTTTTGTGTTTCTCTCGGCTGAGCATTACCAGCCACGGCGCATTCAACACATCCGGCCATGCACAGTTCCAAAGCATGGAATCTGGCTGAGTTTCACTGCGCCCTTCCCTCCGCCCCAGCGGCCGGGACTACGAACCACTCCTCACCGCTGTGGACCGTCCTGCAGTTCACCGTGTGTTTTCACACACTGTAGGAGTCAGGATGCCTTTGGACACAAGGCATAGGAACCAACTAAACGCGGCTCAGGAATGAAGCCCTGACTGTTCCCCATGAAAGGAGGCAGGTGGAGAGCCGATCTAGAGGCAGAGGAGTCGGGCCCTTCCGTTCAGCACCCTCAGACAGCAAGTCCACGCTGGGCTCCCTGCACCCAGGAATGGCAGCTATGAAGAGAGGGAGGGGAAGAGACGGTGCAGTGACTGTCACAGACACACCTCATTTTAGCTTAGAGATCATCATTTCACAATAAGTACCAAACTATAGCATATTAAGTACAATTCAGGGAAATAAAGCAGAGAATTCTTGTGGATAATATCATCATCATAGTAAAACAGAACTATTATAAATACAGATGCAGAAATAACTCATCATTATCAAAATTACCTTAAAAAAAATAAGCCAGCATGGCTTCTGGTGCAGGGTTCAAGGGAGCCTCCTGTTAGTGACTGGTATCCCCCTCTGCCCCACCCATGACCTGAGGGAACAGGTGCACAGACTGAAAAGCGCGGAGCAACGTGCTAAGTCAGCAGCGATGAACACTAACTCAAACTGTTTTGGCACCACTTAAAAAAAGAGATCTGTAGTACTTCCCTTCTTACAAAAATCACAAATGCTATGAACTCTTAAACCTCTAAACCAAATGTGATGTTTCAGAGGTCTGACACTCACAGGAACATTTTAATTAAAAAGCAAGCTGGTGGGAAGGCTTGTAAAATTCTGTGAAGTTATAAAAAAATAGTTTTGAACATGTAGGGACCTTGTGGGGGCAGGAAAGAGGGGGGTCTGCAGTACTAATAGCTCTATTCCATTTTAATATTTTTGAATGTAGAGGTGTTTTTTAATCCCGTTCCAGAGAAAGCAAGATTTATCGCTGATTATGTAGTGGTAACAAATGGTGAGGGAAGCGCTGTAAACACTATTCTAGCGTGCATTTTTTTTTTCGGTGATATCTTCCCGCTTCTGATTGAAAATAGGAATAAATTAAATACAATCGCATGGGACTGCTTTATGCTTAGTCAAGAGCACTGGGGGTGATGTCGGTCCTGAAACACACCTATTTTCAAAGGGGGATGCTCGGGCGCGTGTTCATTTCCTAAGTATCCTCCTTGCCAAGCTTATTGTGAGGGTAATTTCTCAGTTCAGAACGAGAATTAACACGTATTCCTTGAGAGTTTCAGTTATTTGGCTAAGAAATGGCTCCCTTTAGAATGAATGCTCTTTATTCAACCTTTCAATGTCAGTTATCATTTTTAAAGCAGTTTGACCTGGAAGCATGCAGCTAAAATTGTGGGGACTGTTAATGACAGTTTTATTGGGCACTATGCTTATGGTTCACATTTTGAGGTCTGTATGTAATTGATCTTTCTCCCCTACATGAGAAACACAGCAATAAGCTGGTTGCAGCACCACATTACAGATAGAGAGAAATAATAATGATGTCACCTTGAGATTCAAAGATCGTGGAATAGTAATAGTCTCCTAGCTCATTTCTCCCAACTGTGATGACCTCTCCAGTACTAAATCTTAACAGTCTCAGCATTATTTTTGAATTATTCATGCCAGCCTTTTCCCTCACTACAAAATCAAGGGGAACGAATGCACCGTGCTCGGTCAGCTCCACAGGTATTTTGGTAAAAATATAAAATGTTACTTGGTATCACAAAAAAAGGGGGAGGGGGTAGCAGGGTACACGCGGCATGCTTGCCTTGAACAGAAACACACAAACAAAACACACCAAAAAATCATTTATGAAGAGAAGGAGCAAGTGCGTATTCCCACCGATTCTGAACCGACTATTGGCTAATCGCGTTTGGGTTACCTGGAGGGTGAGAGGTCTACAGCTAGAAATAAAAAGTGCGTAATGAGAGTCATTTCTATCGCCAGTCCACCCCCCAAATTACACTAATAAGTATGGGACGGCAAGAAATATGCGTGCTCTCTATCCTGGGCTAGTTCTAGCCAGCGTTAAACGTGAAGCTTTTGCTTTTGAAATGTCAAATCAGCGTCTATTTCTTATTTTAATTCAAATTATGCAGAGACAGCAGCTCGCCAGCTCGCC